ATTCCTTAAGATGTCATGTTCTTTCATTGAAATCTCCACTGATGAGAAAATCTGCTTCTCCATATTGTGACTTGAGTTCCTTTATAAGATAGTCAATGCCTCTGATATCCCGGATATCACGCCATGTAGGAGAACACTCTGGGTGAAGATACACAAACCCTAATATGACGACACTGTTGAGGCCAGAAACCTTGAAGCATACACAAGGAATATATGGTCGCTGCTGGAAAAAAATAACCTTTCTCACGCCATTAGATAAGTCCACCTCTATTGGTATAGTCCCTGAAATTAGGATATACAATATAGGTTGTGGGAAACAGTTTTCATATTTCGCGCATAAATCGACAAATCAGTAGTCATAAGTTCAGAACACAGCTTCTGAACGGTACAAGACAAAAGGGACATAACTCCATCACAAAGACCCCGGCCACACCCCAATATCGTGTTCTCTGTCCTGTCTCCATCTGCTGATTTTGAGTCGTTAGGCTGCTTTAAACGACATCTACCGGCAAACACAGGGAGTCCGCTTTGACGATTGCAAGTCACAGTTTCGCCATACTCGAAAAACTAACTTGTCTACCCGAGGCGACTTCTTCTGCCCTTTTCTCTCGGTGCGTCCATGATAAATTTCAGTTTTTAACGTTTCATCCTCACTGTCAAGAGGGGGCACGGGTGGCCCAGTCGTCTAAGGCGCCGCGATTCGCTGTGCAGAGTTGCGTCCCTTAGGCACGCCAGAAACCTATGATTGTGGGTTCGAATCCCGGTTCGCCCCGATTATGTTTCTAGGTTTGTCAGCACCATACCCGTGCTCGTGGGTTTCACCGAAGTGGTAAACGTCTGAGACCTGCATCACTTCGGGCTTTCCTCCCACATTAAGCTGACACGCCGTGATATGACTGGAATAATGTTAAAAGCGGCGTTAAACCCGACTCACTCACTCACTGTCAAGAATTGACCTCGGAGACAGCTACACTTAGTCCTTAAGTGATCTAACTCCACGCATTATCACATCTCTCGTATTGTAGCTCAATAGTTTATGATAATGTTTTTTTCCACGGTTAATACAATAAGCCGTTCTATGAAGAAATTCGAGTCGTCTTAGAAATCCATCTTCGACCGTTATATTTCACGAACTCTCGGACTCTCCACGTTTCGTCAGGTTTAGACCTGGGAATACCGTGGAATGGCACGTTATTCCGACGACTCTGGTTTTCCAAGTTGTCAAGTTTATCAGTAGCAACTGATACGTTCTTCTTAACTACAGGACCCGTGAAGATCCGGGGTAGAATAGGTCTTCAGCAACACATGCTTGCCGTAAAAGGCGACTATACTTGTCGTAAGAGGCGACTAATGGGATCGGGTGGTCAGGCTCGCTGACTTGCTTGATGCATGTCATCGTATCCCCATTGCGTGGATCGATGGTCAGGATATTAATCACTGGATTGTCTGGTCCAGACTCGATTATTTACAGACCGCATATAGCTGGAACATTGCTGAGTGCGGCGTTAAACAACAAACAAACAAACACAATTCTTAAGTACAGTGTTTTCATTTTCCAGCGCTTCATTGAGAGATCATCCACAGTATATTTTATTATGTCCAATGAGTCAGGCAGTCTGTTGAGTTTGCAGGATAAAACCTTGGGTACGTTATCAATCTTGTCAGTTAGTTTTTCAAATTGTTCCATTAACCTCTTAAATTCTGATTTTCATTAGAATCGATAGCACCAGGAGGCTTTAGTTGTTTAGGAGTGGTACGGGTGTCTGGGCCTGAATTTTGTGCTACACAAAAACGTATGAAGAATGTTATCAAACTCTCGGGTTGAGGAAAGTCGATGTCAATCTCGGTCTGCAGAAAACTTGTCATTTTACGAGCGCTTTCGATAGAAAAACGGCCATGACACTTAAAGACAAGATACACGACATACAAACCTGACCCCTATTTTCGTTAGCGGTGTCATGTGAAGCAATACGGGGCATGAGAAAGTTCAAATCTAATTTTAAAAATGAAGAAGTGGAATTGATTTTAGTCTCCGATATGCTGGCATAATCCATACCTAGTGTCCACATCGACAGAAGTAACGACAGGGACAGAACAAGCTTGTCGCTGTCCAGCGTGAGTTCGGGTCGTAATTCGTTACCACTCGCCCCTTTCCGTAACCTGCAAGAAGACTCGTCCCCCAATCGATGAATGTCATGTGGGAAAATACGACAAACCAATCAGAATGCGCGTATGAATTCAAGTTGTTCGTCAAAGAATCCCTCAGAAATAATTGTGATTTTACATATGTCTTGCATCTAAAAATATACCCAAGACACAGTTAAATGTGTTCAATCATAATGTATAATTCCGCGTGTCCCGATGCGCTTTAAATTGCATCTGATATATATATATAATATATGGGGAAATATATGTGAACCATTACGCAACGAGTTGACAATTGTTTTAGGTATGCCCGTTTGCGCTAAGACGGAACCCGGTCGCAAAAATGGCCATGAGAGGGGCACGAGTCGCTATTCGGCTTGACCCGGAATAACACGAGTTGGTCACGAATGTTCGGGTCGTATGACAGGATTGTATCGATCTGTCTCAGACCACGGGGATCTCCAAACTGTCCAGAGATCCACAGAGTTCCCTATTGCTGCATGTGTTTGGGACCTTTCTGTAATTTTTGTTTTTATTTGTTTTTGGAGGTTTTGGACAGCTCTTCGTAGACGTCACTATTCCCATACCCTTTGCTTTAGTTGCAATGGAAGCCATATTGAAATAAGAATGATACTGTAGAAGTATTTATCTAAGTTTTTATGGGTATATAACAGCGATCATTAATTTGGTATTCCAAAATAAACACTGATGAGAAATTCACCTGTAAACAGCCTGAACCATGCGACGGACACAAATAACATCAACAAACAATTATGTTTATTACATATTTATATTTTTTATTTCATAATAGCTGATTGATTGGCAAGTATGACTGCCATATTTACAGTCCAAAGACTATTTTAAGTCAAGTCATGATAGACCCAATCACTAGATGATAGACCTGTTAACATTAACTGGCTCGGCTTGTTCCTTACTTTACTTTATTTCGGCTACTGGCAATATTCATGAGTAAAATCATTGTCATTTTTTTATCATTCATCTTATCATTTTTAAAAACTAAATTATAAAGATTAACAACAACAGGAAAAGCTGCCAAACATATTGGTCTGGCAAAGTTTAATTACCATACAAAGACTAAGACACTGTTGCTAATTTTACAGACACTCACTTTGGCACCATCCTTGTAGAGTTCCAGCTTCCCAGATCTTATGAGGACCAGGCATACCAAAACCAAAGTGACCCATCATCAGCCAACTCTCCAGTCCTGAACCACTTGTTTCATTGCAGTCGACTCATATGTCAAGCCAAGGCTATCCAAGATACCAAACAGCAAATATCTCGCCCTTAATGAAATGACCCAAATTGCCTCTCAGGTTTTAGTTTATTAGATATAAGAATCCGTCAATCGTTTATTAATAGTGTGATGTCATGATTGTTCTCTGCAACTGCGAGTAAATGTATAAAAACAGCCCTCGTAAATACTCAATGAAGCTTTTCCAGCATCCGTTCAGAGGAGCTAATTTCCGAAACACAATTACGAGCTAATTTACTTTCCGAGTCAAACCTATATATTTATAACAGTTGTATACATCTAAATCATTATTTATATTTATTTAAAATCTTAAAATGTTCACTAATTTTGGGAAAAAAACAATAGAGTGATGAATAGATGAGTGAAGAAATATTGGTTACTCAATGAAAAATATAATAACCCATTTAAATCTTAGAGGTAAACCTCAATTGCTCAAAAACTTATCTGGAGCTCTGGACGTCGATAAGGTCGTTTTCTCAGCTAAATGTTGCAGTCAGCAAATTCAAACTATATTTGTAAATTATCAAGTCTAGGAGAGAAAAAACCAGTGACTGATATTATAGCTGATGGTCGTTGTCGGCACAGGTACTACAGAAATGTACACCAGGTACGGTTCTACATACAGAAATGTACCCTAGCCAAAAGGGACGCAACTCTGCATAGCGAATTACGGCGCCTTAAACGACTGGGCCACCCGTACCCCCCTAATATAGAAGGAAAGCCCATTAGTACTTCAGTCACAGACGTGTTCCACTACACCACTTCAGGTCGGGTTCGGACAGACCAAGAAACATATTTAGAAGAAAAACATCATCTGGAATGCGGGTCCTTGACAAGTGGATCCTTGCACAACTAAGGGACGTAATTGTAACTTCGGAAGACCAGAAGGCCACCCGTCCACTCCACATGGCTGTTCTCGTCGTTCCGAAACCCACTCACTCACTCACTCACTCACTCACTCACTCAGTGCATGTCAACCTCACCTGATGAAATAAAATCTTCCATATTTTCCAACTATTCATCAGAAAGGTGACGGTATATTTTAACATGACCTTACGACTGGAGCCCTCTGTCTGCAGCCGGTGTCTCACACAAATTGAATATGACAAACTCTGACTCACTCATTCACTCTCCCGCGCACCCACTCACTCACTGCTCTGACAACTGAAACCGTCCACATTCTCTCTCTGGGGTGAAACCCCGTTAATGCGGACCGCTGTCAGTCAATTGTCTGAAGTAACGAGTATCTATGGCCGTTCACAATAAACAAGGTCAATGTATAAGAACAAACTGAAAATGAATACTTAAAACATCAATCCACATTTTCATAATCGATAACATATGTGTGAAGGTACACTTCATCTACGAGTATTTATATCCACCTTGTGCATGTATATGCAGAAGCTGAGGCCAGGGAGAAATATAATATTCTATTTTAACACTTACACGTCAACTCAAGAAAAAAATATGTTACCACGTTGCATTTGAAAACAAAGGGACCAAACAGCCTACATCAAGACCATGAGCCTCATCCCTCGTAAATCACCCAGTAATATCCTCTAATAACCTACAGTCATTTCCTACTGTTTGTTGGCCGGTGCTGTGACACCGAAGGCATCTGCACATTCCCTCACACAGGGACACACAGGCCTCAACGAAGCGAGCTGTCCCATGTGTTTGTAGGTATCCTGGTATTGAACTTGCAACATCTGCTGCCGCGAGGATCGTCAACACCCACTGTCGTCTGTCAGCTCGGCCGCCATATTGGCTGAGGAAGGATCACAAACGCCCTCTGCACATAGACCGTTTCGTTCATGGCCTAGCTGATGGTGTTTTCCCGGAATACATATTTTGGTGCATGAGAATGACGGATCTGCTGAATCCATTGTTTGTTGGAGCCCCATGTTCCCGAATTCCGGATAGAGCAGGACAAGTGAAGGTAAGATGGAAGTCTCGGGGAACATCATTTAGATGGCTGGGGACGTTTCTCTTCCAAAGTTCTGATCACGTGACTCAGAACCACCGGGACTCTGAACATTGCACGCAAACTGTTATACGAAACTTATAAACAGTAAATAAGATGGTTTATGTTATGATGCAATGACTTCTTGGAAATACGTGTACAAAGGTTGAATGGGATTTCAAAAGGTTTTCAGAAATACATCCGCTGTGTACTATCAGATGAGCAACTGTCGCTTTTCGATCATTCCAATTTAGATACAACCGATTGTGTCTACATACAATGAGTCTACATAACAGGACATCCGATACGTTTATTTGTTATTGAAGCCGCACTAAGAAATATTGCAACTAAAAACGGCGGTCTGGACCATGACCAGTGACTGATATTATGAGCAGCGAGCCACACCAATCCAACAGGTCACCCAGCCTGACAACCCGACCCATTTGGTTGATTCTTACGACCAGCTTAGGTTGCTGGGGACCAGTTATGACCCTGAAACCCGGAACTTCTCATTAAACAGGGCTTCAGTTCAGCGAATTGACAAGCGTAGCAAATAGAATGTACATTTGACAAATGACAGCTTGTTGGTTTGCTGGTTCAAGGTTTATTATGAAGATCACTATTTAAGCCGATCATTAACATTGTGTTGATGCAGAAACCAGTTCCAAAGTTCGCAAATAAAAGACTGAGTCACAATGAGCATATTGGCTACCTCTCGCTGTGATCTACCTATTTGAGCATGACAACACATCCACGGCATGACAACATATCCACGGCATGACAACATATCCACGGCATGACAACATATCCACTTCATGGCAACACACGTGGTGAAACCATCACAAGAACTTGTAGAAGCGACCATTGACCATTGATCGCTGCACATTGACCATTGACCGCTGCACATTGACCATTGACCGCTGCCCATTGGTCTGATGGCAACAATTCAACGCACTAGGGATTGGCTACGATACGTAAATATAACATGCTGAGAACCGTATATAATTGTACATGGGCCAGGAAAACCAGCTTGCCTGTCTTCAGGGCATAACAACACATCCACAGCATGACAACACATCCACGGCATGACAACACATCCACGGCATAACAACACATCCACAGCATGACAACACATCCACGGCATGACAACACATCCACGGCATGACAACACATCCACGGCATGACAACATATCCACGGCATGACAACACATCCACGGCATGACAACACATCCACGGCATGACAACACATCCACGGCATGACAACATATCCACGGCATGACAACACATCCACAGCATGACAACACATCCACAGCATGACAACACATCCATGGTATGACAACACATCCACAGCATGACAACACATCCAAAGCATGACAACACATCCACGGCATGACAACACATCCACAGCATGACAACACATCCACGGCATGACAACACATCCACGGCATGACAACACATCCACGGCATGACAACACATCCACAGCATGACAACACATCCACGGCATGACAACACATCCACAGCATGACAACACATCCACAGCATGACAACACATCCACGGCATGACAACACATCCATGGTATGACAACACATCCACGACATGACAACACATCCACGGCATGACAACACATCCACGGCATGACAACACATCCACAGCATGACAACACATCCACAGCATGACAACATATCCACGGCATGACAACACATCCACAGCATGACAACACATCCACAGCATGACAACACATCCATGGTATGACAACACATCCACAGCATGACAACACATCCACGGCATGACAACACATCCACGGCATGACAACACATCCACAGCATGACAACACATCCACGGCATGACAACACATCCACAGCATGACAACACATCCACGGCATGACAACACATCCACAGCATGACAACACATCCAAGCAACTCACATTTAGACACTCCGAGTATTTCTATCCAAATTCGAGGAGTATAAGCAAAATGTATTACATTGTATTTTAATTTATGAAGCTGCTAAAAGGACTGAAACTAGGTGTTTGATGATAATCGTAATTTGATAAAATTATTATAAATGTAATAGTTTCATACTGAAGCAACTGATATAATTATTCGGGTATTTCCCTGAGTGAGTGAGTGAGTGAGTGAGTTGGGTTTAACGCCGATTTTAACATTATTCCAGTTATATCACGGCGTTGGTATTTCCCTGAAGACAGGCAAGCTGGTTTTCCTGGCCCATGTACAATTATATACGGTTCTCAGCATGTTATATTTACGTATCGTAGCCAATCCCTAGTGCGTTGAATTGTTGCCATCAGACCAATGGGCAGCGGTCAATGGTCAATGTGCAGCGGTCAATGGTCAATGTGCAGCGGTCAATGGTCAATGGTCGCTTCTACAAGTTCTTGTGATGGTTTCACCACGTGTTAAACGTCCACGATCTGTATAATTTGGTGATTTTCTCCAGTGTTAATCTAACTTTGGCTTCAGTGATAAATACTTCAATTGGAGGCCCTCCTCATTAGACTATGAGATGCGGTCTCAGCACGAGAACGATGGGTTGTGCAGACATGAGAGCATATGATGGCATTAAGATAAATATGTATCTAGAAGTGGATATAAGTAAAATACATCAAGCATATACATCTCCTATGCAGTTAAGTGCAGTGAAGGTTACAGTTGAGGGTAATGACCTGTATATATCACCATCATCATCATTACCATAATTTAAGAATTGACTTTCACTTTGTGTGAGTTCATTGGAGTCTGAACCTGCATAGTGTGAGGCCTAAATGTATGAACGTTGGAGCTTGCGACCATGTTCATACAATGTTTGGCCCTATTTTTTTATATATCTATTTTTTACCTCGAAGGATGTAGGTCTAGATCTATATTCAGTTGTGTTTAGTATCTATTGTGAGTTCATGTTTACACTGACAGCAATACAACAACCAGCTGTATCGCGGAACAAAATAGTTCCTCAAAAACGTATGTATGCTCAGCTTGCTCTTCGGGAACATCTGTTGTAGATTGTTTACAACAAATGTATTCAAATAATTTCATCATTGGATGAGAAAGGTGTGTAAAGAACTACCCAAGTAAGTCAGTCAGAATGACAGCGCGTCGTAATACATTTACATCAAGTACAAGACGTCAAAATGGCCGACACTATAAACGTGAAGGGAGAGATTTCCGAAGTTGTAAATGAACCTGTAGCGGTTACATGTGTTGGTCATCATTGATCAATTGGCCGATCATTGAAAGGTGATTGTAAGGTCAATTCATGGATTGCTGTAGACTCTCACTGTCTGTCTAGACACGGATCGAGTCGATACCACGATAGTTTGGATGTGCATTTCTTCGTTTTGTCCACAAGGATCGGTCGTAGAGGATATTCGTGAACGATCATGCAGTCAAACTCTCTCAGGGTTCCTCACTGTATGCTAAAGCGTTTAGTTCTAGATTGAAGGGTTTAAATGACCAGAAAATACACTTCTGTATGTATTCGTGCTAGGGAATTCCCAAGGGTTTCCCCAGGAATGTGGAAGTAGTCCGTCAGCGTTAACGTCATTTCAAGAGCACGGTCTCGTAAAAAACGTATGATCGTCAAATTGTGTCGTTCATAAACTTATGAACGTCAATTTCGCGGTCATGTGACCGACCTGTCGTCCAATGGAAAAGCCGTATATCGTGTAAACTTCCAAACAAAACATATAATCACTATGATCATCATCACCGTACCCTCATCATCATCATCATCATCATCATCATCATCATCATCATCATCATCACTCTTAACCTGCTAGTATTATTTGCCACCGTACCTCTCTCAGATCATTTTATTTATCAAGCAAAAGCTATACACAGTATTTCTTCGATCGGGACTAGCATCATGTATATAATTGTAATGTGAACGCAAAATCAAGAAACCACTCATATCTACATAAAATAGTTTATCTTGACTGCAAAGGAATGCTGGCATAAAGCAGTTGGAATGTAGGTAATAACGTATATGTGTGTCATTTGTATGTTGATTGGAAACGGAACAAGACATTTGCATTATTTCCAGACAGATTACACCATGTGCATTTTCTACACACACGCAACACAACACAACAAACCTATTCTTGCAACATACGAAATTATTTTACTTTGCCAGATGGTAAATTAGCATATTTGCATTTGCAACTCAGACAACTTATTCACATTATTTCAACATAGGTTAACATAACTTACATGGTGGGCTGTGTTGGTGGACTGCGCGTAACAATTTATGAGCTACAAATTATTCGAAATGACAACAAAACATAATTTCAAGAACTAGAACTTATGGAACAAAAAAGTGAATTACAGTTGATTAGCAAAAGGCTCGCTACAGTTGAGTGAGTGAGTGAGTTTTATTTTTACGCCGCTTTTAGCAATATTCCAGCAATATTACAGCGGGGGACACCAGAAATGGGCTTCACACATTGTACTCATGTCGGGAATCGAACCCTGGGCTTCGGCGTGACAAGCGAACGCTTTTTCAGATGTACATGTATGTCTTAATACAGATCAGGGATGTCAGATGTACATGTATGTTTAAATAATATTTGCACTTCCAGCGTCACTCAATCGTTCCTTGCTGTTTACTCTTATATAGGGCAGGTCCAGGTCATTCATAATTACCCCCACCCCCAACCCCAGCCCCAGCCCCCGATAGCAATTATTGCCCCCAGCTTCCCGTGCGTCTGGGTGTCGTGCGGGAATGTGACCTACATCGGAAATGTCAGAACTTCAACTTGGTCACAACTGGATCATTCCGGTTCACGTTTGAAGTTATCTGCACGTTTATGCTTGGTCCCATATAATCATGCCTATATTGGCATTAGCACGGGTAATACGTTATTCAATTAATATGTTGCCCTCTCTTAAAGAACCATTATGCCCTGACTGATTGCATCAGACATAATTGACACCGTGTGGGTTTACTATACATAATGA